TATTGAAACAGAAGAGGGAAAGAACAGATTAGAAGTAATATATGATTGAGTATTATGGTTAGCACAGGAATCAGGAATTAAGGTTTCATAGAGAAGTGTACTCGGGGTGGGGGGAAAGGGATGGGGGAATTGTATACTAATGAAGAAATTTTTTTTCTTTTTCTTTTCAGAGAGGGGAGCAAACTGGTGGGGAGGGGTGGGCAGAGAGAAAAGTGCAGCAATGAATGAATGGAAATCCAAAACCTCTGTAAATGTCTATAAAAATTAATTAAAAGAAACAAGAAGAAAAAGAAAAAAAAAGGATGCATTTATTAGATTGTTGGTAATATAACTGTGTATTAAAAAAAAAAAAAAGACACAACCCCAAACCAACCAACTAGATAAAAACAATCCCCCTCCAGTGTTACTGTTCTCTGGAGCGCGGAGATCTTGACGTGGACACTTACGTTATTGCACTCGCCGAGGAAGTACAGAGCGAATCCATCTGCTTTTGTTGCTGCCAAAGGAACAGAAAAAGAGGAAGCGCATCTCAGTGGGAGAACACGGCACACACGCACGCATCTTCAGGGGGAGACCTCACAGATGAGTCTCTTCACCCGAAGGGTCCACATAACGAATGGTGTGCGACAAACATAACAAAGTCACTGGCGGCTTTTTCAGTAACATCATGAACATGTTTTTGGACAGTCTTTACCAGTTAGTCCAAAATTTAAGATGCATCATCCTCATAAGTTTATAGAGCAGCCCATGTACTATGTAAATGACATTTTTAAGATTTGTTAACTGTAGTTTTTAAAGTGTTTTCATTACTTAATAACTAATATTAGCATCAACTGGAAAAGGATGGTCTAAGGAGTACATGTCGGCGCTGAGGGGAGAGCGATTTCGTCCACCTTACGCTGCCTCAGGATTGTCCGAAAGGCAATTACAATAGCAGGTCAGAGCGTAAGTCCTGGAGGGACTGCCCGGCATCAAAGCCCTGCCTAACCCCTTTCCGTGGGTCGCCATGAGCCACAGTGACCGTGACTCGAACAATAAATCCTTTTGATATGTGTGCCTTTGGGAAAGGTACCTAACTTTTCTTTCTCACAGCGAAACTATGATCACAGCCATTTGTACCTACTGAGGTTGTAATAAGAAAGAGTGAGCTGACGCACGTATTAAGAAAAGTAATGCATGTACTTAGAAAAGTTCTCAGCGTGCAGCGGAGTACACGATAAATGAATTTTTTATCATTTGTTCTATGAGTTCTTAATCTCAAAATAAGATAAAACTTCCGAAAAAGATATCTTTCTAAAAGTGTCTTAACAAAGTGCATGCTTCCAATTAACTTACCCTGGCAACAGAAATAATTTATCTCTTACCTACTATATAAAGTTTCACCTGCCCCACGGAAATTTAAAGGGCTTGTTCTTCTTTAAAAATGAATACATTGCCTTCTACAGATGTGATTAATTCAATAAAACTATACTTCTAAAATAGCTAAGTATTAAAAAGCACAATAATTGCATTTAGACATTATATAAATATATATTTTAAATTAGATTATTTAGGAATATAATTCATTCTTTCAGTGTACGTTTATTAGTGAGTAAATGATTTTTTCTTTTTACTGTGGGATAAAGGAATCTTCCTTTTTCTCACTGACGGGGGATGGGAGTCTTACCTATTTATTTTTTTAAGTCTTACCTATTTTGATGATGGTGCTCAGCTCATACAGGAGAAGCTGGTTGTCCCCACCAGCGTCCAAACGCTGTTCGATGTAACTGTTGAGTTCATATACAACTCCCTGCATGTTTGTGTCTTGGTACTGTGAATAAAAAAGGAGAAGATGCAGAGTTAAGCCTAATAAAATAAAAATTATTTAGCTTCATGATGAACAAATATGAATTTATATGCCAGCCATTTATATATAGAATATGCTTTAAATGCTATCATCTATTGTTAAAAGCAAATAGATTAAAATTCATATCTCTATTACTTATTTGCATCTATACGCTTATTTCTATTAAAATGCTACAAATTATAAGCTACTTTTATAAATATCTAGGAACTTGATAAGTAGGAATACTATAAAATTTGTTAACAGAATAAAATAATGAGATGAGAAGCTATGCATTGCAGTAAAAGAAACAGAGCTCTTCAATGCATGGCTCACTGCCCCCCACGCCCACAAGTCAATACATCACTGCCCCCCACGCCCACGAGGACAACGCATCACTGCCACCCACGCCCACGAGGTCAGTGCATCACTGCCCCTCACACCCACAAGGTCAACGCATCACTGCCCCCCACACCCATGAGGTCAGTGCAAGGCTCACTGCCCCCCACGCCCACGATGTCAGTGCATGGCTCACTGCCCCCCATGCCCACGAGGTGGTGGTTGTGGTTGTTGCTGTTGTTGTGCACCATCAAGTCAGAACTGACCCATAGGTGACCCTCTGGAGCGTTCCCAGAGGCAGTTAATCGCAGGGGAGGAGACTGCCCATCCTTCTCCCACGGAGCAGCTGTTGGCCTTGAACTGAGTGCCTTCAGGATTGCAGCACAGCCTCTTGCCACCAGGCCAGCCTATCTTGCAGAGCATGACTCAGAGCTGCACTAGCAGGAGTCAGGACTGACGCACAAGCCTACATGACGGTCAAGTGGGAATGTCCACCCCACAGGAGGCCATCGCTGCAGTCACCGGGTCAGTTCATCTTGCGGAGGGTTTTCCTCTGCTTTTCCCATCAGGATGAATGTCTTCGTCCAAGGACTAGCCCCTCCCGTCAACATGCCCGTAAGAATGTGAGCTGAAGCGCGGTCAGGGCGCTTGCTGGCCTCTGAGGAACATCCGGATGCATTTCCTCCAGGACACACTCATTTGTTCTTTTGGGCAGTTCAGAGGCTATTCAGTCCTCTCCTCCAGCACCATCAGAGGCATAGATTATTCTTCTGTCAGTCTTACTCATGGTTCAACTGAAGATGCCATGCTTGGATTGGGCTCACCTTAAATTTTATATTTACTCTTTAACACTTTAAAGAGATCCCTGGTGGCTGATTTTCCTTTTGAATGCACACTTGATAAAGAACTTCTTATTCTATATCTGTGTGTACTTTGTGGTATTAAATACAAAACAATCTAGTGTCTTCACGCATCTGAGGCATATCTTTGTTAATTTTTTTCAATTCTTTCTAAGGTACACAGTCCATCTGATGGGATAAATAATGTACACAGCATTGAAACAGACGACGGAGAGAACTATATAAAAGAAATATATGATAAGGTATTATTGGCATGACAAGAGTCCAGAATAACAGCTGCATAGTAAAGTGGTCCGGGGCAGGGGGTAATCTATATAACAATAAAAGAATTTTTTTTCCCAAAGAAAAAAGTTAATTGGGGGTTGGCAGGGAGGAAAATATGCAACAACGAATGAATGGAAATGCAAGTTCTCTATAAACTTTCATTAAAATGTCAATTTAAAAAAGTCAAATATATTTATTGAAAGATACCCACATATAAGTGAATCTGCACTGCTCAACTCTGTTACTCTAAGGTCATTTCCACTGAAAAATCACCTTACAACTCCTGCTTCCAAGCCTGCTTTTCTATATCTGTCCTACACACACACACACACACACACACACACACACACACACACCCATCAAGTTCATGCTAACACACTGCAACTCAAACAGCAAGCGCTGTAAAGTTTAACTAATGACTGGAGCGTCTCACTGTGCCTCGAGACATCTACAAGACAAGCACCTCACGCCGTGTGCTCCCACGCACCACAACACACGCTGCCTGCCTGCCTGGGAAAGGTCAGCTTGTGCCCCAACTCCACCCTCGTTGCCTCTCACAAACTGGCCACTGACAGGCCATCGTCATTATCCTTGGTAACTGTAGTCAATAAACATCCATGAAATGAAAGAAAGAATGAACCAATCAATACATCAGCAAGTCTATAAATATTAACTGTGACACATAAACATTGTTCTAGAGGACAGCCAAAAAAGCAGTCAACATAATCTCTGCCCTCAGGAAACCTGCTTCTGGCTGGGAGAGCCTGGGGGTCCCTGGGTTGTGCAAACCATTAAAATGTCTGGCTGCTAATCAAAAGGATTCAAGCCCACTAAAAAATGTCCTCAGAGAAAGGCCTGGTGACGACTAGAAAGTCAGCTATTGAAAGTGCTCTTCTACCAGGCTCTCTTCTGACAGGTCATAGTCAACGGGGACGTGAAAGAGAGAAGATACGGAGACGCACAGTGTGATGGGCGATGATCACTGTGCAGCCAGAGGTCAGGCCCGGCCAGTGGGACGGCCAGTGGACAGGGTCCACCTCTGCAGAGAGGGCTCTGGTTCCAAACCGGAACTCCTCCCTCAGACGGAAACTAGAATCCAGGGAGGAATACCGTGAAAGCCTCAAGTCTGTCTAGCTTCCCTGAGATCTAGCTTCACCCATCCTCTCTCTGCTTCTGAAATGAAAACAGACTAAAAACCAAGATGTTCCAGAAAGAAAAAACTAGAGGCAGGCTCATCAGAAGGGATCAAACCAACCCCCCCCCCAAAAAAAAAAAAAAGCGCAGGATTTAGCTAATCTATAGAAATTTGAGGAAGAGTGAGAAACGATTTCAAGGTGCGGATCCCCGCCAGAGAAGCCCTGGCAGCTCCGGGGGTGACCTTCTCAGCTGCTGACATGGAAGCCGTCCGTTTGAAGCCACAGCCTCCATGTGGGGACAGACGTGTGCCCTTGGGAGTTCCATGGGGCAGCTCTGTTTTACTAGGTTGCTAGGACTCAAAACCAACACAAAGGCAGTGAATCAGGTTTGGGATTATTTTGGGCAGAAGACACTTAAGTTTCGATCAGGTTCCATTTATCTACGGAGGTGCACTGAACGAAGGGTTTGGCTTTGCCTGGTAGTGGCTAAAAGTGGCTTCAACAGTTTACCTGGCTGAGTGACTGTTCCCCAAAGTGACCTGCACGAAATAAAGTCAAAGTGTCAAGACTTCACGGTCTCTATCCAGACCCTTGGAAGCCACAGAACACAGAGACGGAAGCCTAGTGAGCTCGGCTCTGGAAGGGTGTCCAGGGCGCTGCTCAGCTCTCTGGCCCCTGGCATCAATCACCCGGTTTACGGGATGCTCGGGCCAAGGCTGGTGTGTCCCAGGTCCCTTCTGTCCTTCTGTCAGGTTTGCTGGCCCTGCTGCATGGTCCTCACCCGACCGTGGCCATGACTGCAGCACTGGGCTGACATGTGTCAGGTATTGTGAGGACTGCACGGGTCAGGCCAGGGATCTGGTCATCGGTCACTGGGAGTCGTCTTCCACAAGACGACACCCCACAACAACAGCGTGCTGAGTCATGGCCTGGCCCCAAGCTGGCTGCATCCTACTAACAATTCCCTCTTCCTGGCGGCTATTCACAACTCCCCACTGTTCCCTCGCTCCACACGCCTCCCAGGTCCCCTTCTTGCTCAGACCTCAGTGTGGCACCTGGAATCGGTGCAAACACTGAACACGGCAAGGTCCGAGGCCTCCGGAGCACGACGGCGTCATCCGAGGTCACACCGGTGGCGCTGCCTCCCAGCAGCTGTCAACAAGCTCATACAAGCTCATACTCGAGGGACTGCAAAAGCTTTGACTGAGGCCAGATAAACCGCTCTGCAGCAATGAACCCAACGTCCTTCCTCAACGCTAAGCAGAACTGCTGCTCCAGTTCTGCTGTGTGCTTTGGTTTTTTGCTTTTTTTCTAACACCCTGGAGGACAAAGCCCCTCTGAGCTTGAAGAACCCCAAGGACAGACAGGGCTAAGGGGACAGCGGCTGTGGGAAGGCCATGCGGGAGCCTCTGCTATGTTCCAAAGTTCGAGCTCCAGGCTTCCCTTCAATGTAAACCCACACAGTCCCCATCTGCCCTGCCTTCTGCCACGGGGCATTTCAGGCAGCTGAAGGAGAGCTTTCTGTCACTGAGAAGAGCAGAGCTTACTCTCATAAGATATGCAAGTTGGACTCCTTCTTGTGACAGTATACTTCTGGGAAGAGCCTTTTTTAAAAAAATTTTTTTCCCCATTTTCTAATTTATTGGATGCTTAGTTGAATGAACATGGGGGGAGAGATTGCATAACAATGAAATGGTTTTTCTTTTTCTTTTCAAGGAGAAGAGTGATTGGGAGAGAAGTGGGCAGGGAGAAAAGTACAACAATGAATGACTGGAAACCCTAAGTCTCTGTAAACTTTCATTAACATTAATAAATATTTTTTTAAAAAAAGTGGTAGAGAAAAAAATAAATTTCTAAAAGTTTTTAGTGTGTGTGTGTGTGTACCATCAAATCGGATCTGACTGGTACAGGCGGAGATTGCCCCTCCTTCTCCAGCAGAGCATCTGGTGGATTCGAACCACACGACTCGGTGATTGCACTGCAGCTTCTTCCCACGAGGCCACCAGAAAAGAGATTTTTTTTTTAAATGACCACTTAGAGCTGAAGCCAATGGCCAGCTTCCCTCCAGCTTCTTTACACGGGCTGCCAGACACAAGTGATTACAAGCGAACACTCAGGGGCCCAGGCAGCTCAGCACGACATTTCATGCCTCTGGGATGCAACTTTGTCCTTGGAAAAGAAAAAAACAGCTGTTTCAATTGCAGTCTTAAAAATTTCTCCCGACACTAACTTTCCATAATAATTTATAATCTAGAATTTTTAATTTTTGTTTTCATTAAGCTTCAAATGTTGATCTACTCTGTTATATAAGGTAACAAAAATATAAAATATTAATAAAACATGATAAAATTGGTAAATGAGACTTCATAAAAATTAAAAACCATTTCAG